ATTTGCCAGCCTTCGACTTTACACGCGGCCGTTTTTGGCCAAGACCATCGGCCGAGATGATTATGTTTTGGTTGCTTCTGTTGTGAGTATCTAAGGCGGTTTCATTGCTTACCTACGTTTTTCCGTGCTGACGGCGTAGATTCTCGCCACCGTCGGTATGGTTCTCCTGATCATGCAAGGTATCCGCGGGATGGGAAAGCACCAGGACACTCTGTCCGATGCCGACGTGACTGAGATCATGCAACTGAGCTTCTACCTTTCCAACATATCTGGTGTTGCCGGTCGCAGCTTGCTCAAAATTTCCATCGCATTATCCCTCTTGAGATTCAGCCGGAGTCGATGGTATTCACGCTCACTGTGGGCCTTGATCGGTAAAACCTTCGACATCAACATTTGGATAAATTACTGATCCAAACCACAGTATTTGTCGTGCTATGCGGCATCTTCGCTTGGGTCACTATTGCCCTCTACTGCAAGCCCCTGGCCGGGTACTGGGACAAGAGTCTCGAGCCCGAATGCTATGACATCAAGCTTTTTATTTCTTTTGGTCTATTCTACACCTGTAAGTACCCGTGCGGTCTTCATAGTTGCCAATTACTAATAATCAAAACGCAGCATCTTGCATGTTCACAGACGTTTGCTTTGCTGTCCTGCCCATCCCAGTCATTTGGACATTGCAGATGAAGCGACGCACTCGAATCTATTTGATTGGAATTCTGAGCCTGGGTAACTGGTAAGTCTGCCACTCGCAAATTGGAGAATTCTCTGCTCACAATCTAGCGCTGTTGGAGTCGGTGTTGTAACTGCAGTCTTTCAGATTGCGTATGGTGGAGAAAAGGACGGAACTTTGTATGTTCTCTACGCATGCCTGTGGTCCGAGGGCTTCGGAAGCCATTCAGCTAACTCATATTTTCATGCAGCAAGAACAGTGTTCAGTTCTGGGGTTTGTGAGTATCTCTGAAGCCACGACGGCGTCTTGCACATGGGCTAATTTTGGGACTTGTGCAGCGTCCAGTTCTGTCTCGCCATCATTGCGGCTTGCGCACCCTCTCTGAAACCGTTATTGGGCCGCGCCCTGAAGATTTCGTCGACCGATAGATACAAAGCGAACCTATACGAAAACCGCTACCCCACAAACAGGCTCAACTCGACCATGCGGCGTCGTGGATACATGGAGCAAACGAGCCAAGACTCCCCGGAGTTTGAGCTTCAAGATAGAGCGTTAGCAGGGTCTGTTGACACGCATCAAGCGATGATCAATGGCGGCCCAACTCGAACCGCGAGTATTATGTTCGGGAAGCCCAAGTCCGACCGATCAACAAGCGAGGAGACAATATTGAGAGAAGCCAATGCGAAGGGCATCATCTGCACAACAGAGATCACAGTCAGACGTTAGTAGAGCAGAAAGCAGGAGATTTTCGGCTGACAACAATGATGAATCTTAAGCCCAGACTTGGTAATGCAATTTATGTACGGAGAATCCAAATGCTATGTGCTTTTCCCAACACAATCGACTCCGCTAAAAACATCGAGGCGAAATTCAGCAGCTGAGAGTTGCTATCTTCAAGAAGCCGCTTTCGGCGCGAATGTCAGCGGAACACCGGCAGGACTAGCGTCAGTTATGTCCTGGGCGATTTGTAACAGTGTCGGAACCGTGAGCGCAGTGTCGGTCGGGGACCAGCCCAGCACCACTGGAAATCTCTCGTTCCCTGGACAAAGTCGGTCAGTATACAGGAGTTTTTGTTTTCTTGCATGTCTGTCTTAACTTACGGAAGAAATACTCAAAGTATGACCGCTTGGCTACTGGGTTGTCCGGGCTTCCCCAAACAGCCAGCATGAAGGCGCATTCTCCGGCCGATGTTCCCTCCCTCGCCTCAGTAACGTTCATCGTCGGGTTGAGCAAGCTCATCTGCTGAATGTGTCGGGCGCGAGCATTTGATATTGACGCAACGTCGAAGGTTTGGGCGTTTCCAAAATAGGAAAGAAATTGGTTGAATGTTCCCGCATCGAATGGGTTCGTTGGATCGAAGTACTCGTCGCGGCGGGACATGCTTCCGTCGTGTTCGATGACATTGTGTTTATTTAGCATGTCCAAATCGATGGACTGTGAACACGCGTTATTAATATGGCAGTTGACTTCATTCCTCATTGAGGTGCTGGTTGATGATTGTAAGGAAATGGGCACATGAGTCAACTTACGTTTGCATTGGGGTCCGGATTTGTTGCCAGTCCAGGAGTAAATGTTCCAATAGCAATATCATCGCCCATATTTATCCCGTCGGAAAAAGCTGTCTTGATCTTATCTAACGTAATATCCCGACCATTGTGTGGAAGGAATCCGTGGTTCGCTAGCGTATTTAACATTGGACAAGGTGAACGAACTGAGAAGTCGGCAAGTTAGTGACGATTCGCAGGTTGGGTCCGGGAATTCTCACCATCCCCAGGTCCAGCTGGTGTCCAGGTGAAATGATTGGGTTTTAACTTGGACGGCAAGTTCCTCAATATGGATCCCGAATTTGACGGGCAGCCAAAGCCAATTGAACCAAAAAGACATAAAGGAACGCCATAGGCCAGCGGGAGGGTTCCCGCGACTAAGAGATAACAAAGCTGCATGTTTTGCGATATGAAGTAGTCGAATAAAGCTTTGATGTGTGAAGACACGGCCGAAGTTTGGATGAAGTTGTAGAAATCAAGTTAGAAAAAGATGCGTACGAGTACTGATCATGAAAAGCAAATTCATCCACGATTTAATACAGAAATTCAATGGACTCGCGATATTATCGTCCCCTCTTACTAGACCTCTTCAGAGTAGTTTGAAGTCCGTTGTAAACTGCCTTTCCAACGAGGCAAGTTGTAATGTCGATCCTCGGCACTAAAAGCGCCAAATGGCTTGCCTTCCTAGCGCCGCCCCTGCCCGACGCGAGCTATCCTTCCGGAGCGCTCAGGAACCGAGCTTTCGCGTTTTGTTAGCGCCTGGCAGCCGCTTAAAGAAATCAAATCATTCAAAGAACTCCGTTTCATTTTTATTCCAGTTCATCCCATTGGACGCGTCCGTTGTTGAATAGCCCCCCTCTCGAACAGTAATCAGGGTCCAGGCGAGCCTTCGACCGAGCTAGGCCCAACGGCAGGGAAACAGAAATGACAAGGACAGGCGTCAGGCACGCCAATCGGAAGAGGTCCGATGCGCAATCAGCGTCTTGCGAGTCGTGATCTACGAAGCTGTCTCTTTGATCGTCCCGCGGACATGACTCTAGCTTGCTCAAGATGCGAGATCCCGTTGACTAGGACGCCTTGGCTCCGTTGGACCCCGCGATCTACGGCATCAGTCATCACACATGAGACGAAGCGATCGAAACTTCAGTTCCTAACGGTTTGGCTATGAACCGTTGGTGGCAAATTTCTGAGATTTGGCACTGTTTGCTATGGTTGGATATCAGAGCACTTGGGTTCGCATTGAGAAAATATCTCGGCCATCACAGGCTTCGCTCCCGCAGCTTACAGGTCGCCTTTGAACCCGTTGCCTGCCTCATGAAGTTTCCCTGCCACGATGATCATCTGAATTTACGCCTTATCCTGGCAGCACCGGGCCTGTTCAGTCACCTATAGGCTATTTGGCGCGATGAACTTGTCCGGCTTGTCCATGTTCCCGTTCTCCTTTCCCGGGATCGTGCTGGCCTTACTCCCGAACATGTTTGCCATCTTGTCCAATTCTTTCTCTGAAGAACCAGTTCTTCCTGCGGTCTTTCTCGAAATTCCGCCAACAGGCAATATCAAAGTAACCGCTGCGTAGCGCTCATGTGAAATCGCTGACAGTAGCCTCGGCTCCTCAAAGAGATATCCTCCTCTCCGGGGTACATGGTCCTTCGATGCTGGGCCTAGCCATTTACTACTCTTGTATTCGGACTAGAGTTTATGAAAGGATAGAAATGCATTTTCAGCGCCAGTACCTTGCTTCGTTCTGTTGAAATCACTCGAAACCCGTCAAGACTTTTCCCAGCTTCCGAGAGAGTGGGTCAGTAGAGAGATTTAGCCCATCGTTGTACACAGCTGGGCGTATGTCGACACCGAATAACAGAACAAGTAGCCCGTGTGGGCGCCGAATGCGAGACCGAAAATAAGCTTGTCCCGTTCAAGAGACGGAATCCTAGAAACACTGATCTCTCCGAAGAATACTATATCAGTTCGTTAAGTGCGGCGCTCAAGCATGGTCACGAACATGATGTAATCATCTTTAGTGAGGCGCGACTCAGGAAAGTCAGCAAGCGGACATAAGGCCGGACTTGCTGACCCTACAGCCCATGTGATAGGATAGGAGTGGGATCTTACAATCGAAGTTACTTGGCAGACAGCTCCGCAACTACAATCTTTTGTCTTCTGTCACCGCCGTACCTTCCAGGTTCAGAAACCTCACGCCCCATATATTACTGCGGCATGTCTTGTCCAAAGACGCCGGTGCCCGGGACCTGTACAGGAGATCAAACCGAAAACTCAGGCCCGCTACTATCGTAGGTATAGATGGAGAAGTATGTTTGCCAGTATCGTCTAGAAGCTACGCTTATCCCTACTGTCGATCTGATGGACCACAAATATCGCCTTCGGCCGAATGCAACCGCGACAGACTGAGAACAGAGTCTCCACGCCGTTAGATCAGCTCATCAGGCAAGTCCGAATACACCGGCAGCGGCCAATGATTCAGGCTTAGCGACGGAAGAAAGCTTGCGATAGCACGAACTTTTCCCCTGATTCCAACCTGATATCGGCCCACTAGTGAAATGAGCGTTAGCTTGGCAAATTCGTCTGGCGCTTTGGTTGAGGATTCTTATGTATATAATGGTACTTACTGTACGTCTTGATTTTTGAATTGGTCCCATCTCGGACATCATCTGAAAGGTTTGGACCTCTCTGCTCGTCTCACCTGGTCAGCTTTCATCGTCACCAAGCATATACTTCCTCGAACTAGATCCATCTTCTTGAACCACGGCGGTTGGTGATCTGCCACAATGGTCAGACGTAATCTCGTGGGTTTTGCAGCCCAAGCTATCGGCGCCATGGCAACGCTTGCCGACAGCCAGGCGGGCTTCCAGCAGTATTGCGAGTTTTTCAATGCCAGCACCTCTTCAATTTACGGCGTCTCTTTTGCTTCAACCTACATCCCTGCCGGAACCGAACTTCAGCTTAACGAAGTAGACGCTACGTGTGGCATTTTCACCCAGGCCGTGTCAGTCAATTTATGCCGTGTAACCGGACAAGTACCTACCTCGAATCGCTCTGGATTCTGGTTCAGGCCTGGCTGCCTGAAGACTGGAGCGGTCGCTTCCTCGCAACTGGCAACGGCGGTCTTGGCGGCTGCATCCAGTACTATGATGTGGAGTATGGTGCTTCTCTCGGATTCGCAACCATCGCAACCAACAACGGACACCAAGGATACACTGGAGCCCCTTTTCTTCACAACCTCGACGTTATCCAGGACTTTGCTTACCGATCCATCGAGAAGGGCGTCTCTATCGGCAAACAAGTCGTCCAAGAATTCTATGGCAGGTCCCACACTAAGAGCTATTATCTTGGATGCTCTACTGGTGGACGTCAAGGATTGAAGGCAGTCCAGTCTTTCCCCGACCTATTCGATGGTGTCGTAGTTGGAGCGCCTGCTATTGCATGGAATAATCTTACATCGTGGGCTACTCGGTTTTACCCCCTTCTTGGGACAACGGAGTCTGCAACGTTCATTCCTCTGGACATGTGGCCAGTCATCCACCAGGATATCTTGGACCAGTGCGATACGCTTGATGGCGTTGCAGACGGCATCCTGGAGTCGCCCAATCTCTGTGACTACAACCCCGAAGGTCTTTTATGTACTGAGGGCGACGGCCAAGCAAGCGAGTGCCTGACTGCTACGCAATTGGAAACCCTGAAGAGCATTTACACGCCAGTTTTGGACGCGGCTGGCAGTCTCGTATACCCGAAGATGCAGCTTGGATCCGAGTTTACTGGAGCTGTCGACAGTTACTTTTCTGGAGCAGTCTCGCCAGTGTCGGACTGGTGGCGTTATGCTATTTTCAACGACTCAGCCTGGGATCCTATTACCTTCAGACCAGAAAACTACACCGTTGCGTCGGGCCTCAACCATTTCAATATTGACACCTGGGAAGGTGACTTGCGAGCATTTCAGAGCCGCGGCGGCAAACTTCTTCATTGGCACGGTTTGGCAGATGGTGTTCTCTCGAGTGAGAATTCCCCCAGATACTACGAACACGTTTCGCAAACTATGGGCATGAATTCGGGTGCCCTCGATACATTCTACCGCTATTTCCGCGTTTCTGGCATGTCTCATTGTGGCAGTGGCAATGGTGCAACTTTTATCGGCCACCAGTCAGCAACCACCGCTAGTCTGGCTCCGGAGGAAAATGTGCTGATGGCGGTTGTGCAATGGGTTGAGAATGAGGTAGCCCCTGAAACCATTACGGGCACCAGGTACATCAACGGGAGCAAGGATAATGGTGTCGACTTCCAACGCAGGCATTGCAGATGGCCTTACAATAATGTATATCAGGGTATTGGTGACTATAAAGATCCTAACACTTGGAAGTGTGTATTATAAGCTAGGCGTCATAACACGCTGGCGATAATTTACATACATCTGTAGGAAGATCTCTCGAAAGCTGGATTCTGTTTTCGAGCGGGAATAATAATTTGAATCTATAACTCGTGGGTAATTTGGCCATTTTGCTCAGGTATTATGAAACAGCTGCTATCCATGTATCAATATTACAATGTTCCTATTACTTACAAAGCAATGGCATACTCCCAAAGCAACAAAATCCCATCTCATCACACCTGATTACCTAGTAGCACGAATTGAGGTCGGACTGACGCCACCAGCTGGGAACAGCTGGCCGTGCTGGGGCAAGCGCCCCACACACGGCGACCGCTGACGCCGAATACCGAACTTTTTTTCATCCACCCCAGCATCCCGACTCCAAAAAATTTCCAGCCGCCCTCCAGAGAAGTTTGGCGAAGGAATTCTGCATCGAAGACACCGCGAATTCGACCACCGCACGACAAGATGGCGACCCCCGCGAAGGCACCCGCCAAGGGACCTGCGAAGCGATCCAAGACCCTGAAGAGGGATACAAGGGTGGAAAAGCGAAAGCAGCAGTTGCAGAGCATCGAGCAGCTCGAGAAGGCCGTCGCCGACTTTGTAAGTGGTCGATGCACACACTCCATGATCTTCAATCACGCGACCCAGAGACTGACACCTCGCCGGCATACAGGACCCCAAGGGCGAATTCACATCCTTCTCCGAACTCCCCCTCTGCGAAGCGACCGCCACAGGCCTCGAGAAATCCCACTTCCAGACCCTCACCGACATCCAGTCCCGCGCCGTGCCCCTCGCCCTCAAGGGCCGCGACATCCTCGGCGCCGCAAAGACCGGCTCCGGCAAGACCCTCGCGTTCATCATCCCCGTCCTCGAGAAGCTCTACCGCGCGCGATGGACCGAGTTCGACGGCCTCGGCGCCCTCATCATCTCCCCGACCCGCGAGCTCGCCGCGCAAATCTTTGACGTCCTGCGCAAGGTCGGCCGTAACCATGCCTTCTCCGCCGGCCTGGTCATCGGCGGCAAGAGTCTCAAGGAGGAAGCCGAGCGTCTGTCCAAGATGAACATCCTCGTCTGCACACCCGGCCGCATGTTGCAGCACCTCGACCAGACCGCCGGCTTCGACGTCGACAACCTCCAGATCCTCGTCCTCGACGAGGCCGACCGCATCATGGACATGGGCTTCCAGTCCGCCGTCGACGCCCTCGTCGAGCACCTGCCCCAGACCCGCCAGACCCTCCTCTTCAGCGCCACGCAGAGCAAGAAGATCTCCGACCTCGCCCGCCTCTCCCTCAAGGACCCCGAGTACGTCTCCGTCCACGAGGAGACCACCCCGAAGAACCTGCAGCAGCACTACATCGTCACCCCGCTCCCCGAGAAGCTCGACACCCTCTACGGCTTCATCAAGGCCAACCTCCGCTCCAAGATCATCGTCTTCTTCTCCTCCGGCAAGCAGGTCCGCTTCGCCTACGAGTCCTTCAGACACCTGCAGCCCGGTATCCCCCTCCTCCACCTCCTCGGCAAGCAGAAGCAGCTGCAGCGCATGGAGATCACGAAACGCTTCGCCGAGGCGAACCACTCCTGCCTCTTCGCCACCGACGTCGTCGCCCGCGGCGTCGACTTCCCCGCCGTCGACTGGGTCGTACAGGTCGACTGCCCCGAGGACGCCGACACCTACATCCACCGCGTCGGCCGTACAGCCCGCTACGAGCGCGACGGCAAGGCCGTGCTCTTCCTCGACCCCAGCGAGGAGGCCGGCATGATCAAGCGCCTCGAGGCCAAGAAGGTGCCCGTCAACAAGATCACCGTCAAGGAGAGCAAGAAGAAGAGCATCACGAACCAGCTGCAGAGCATGTGCTTCCAGAACCCAGACCTCAAGTACCTCGGTCAGAAGGCCTTCATCAGCTACGTCCGCTCCGTGCATCTCCAGAAGGACAAAGAGGTCTTCAAGTTCGACGAGCTCGACCTCGACGCCTACGCCGCCAGCCTGGGACTCCCCGGAGCGCCGCAGATCAAGCTGCGCAAGGGCGAGGACGCCAAGAAGATCAAGAACGCCCCGCGCGCCGGCATGTCCTCCGACGAAGAGAACTCCGACTCGGACGCGCCCAAGAAGCCCAAGAAGCAGGAGGTCCGCACAAAGTACGACCGCATGTTCGAGCGAACCAACCAGGACGTCCTCTCCGGCCACTACACCAAGCTCGTCGCCAACGGCGAAGTCTCCGGGCCCGCGATCGACGACAACGACGAAGACGACTTCCTCTCCGTCAAGCGCGTGCTCAACGACGACGCCCTCGACGCCGAGTCCGCCAACGCACCGGGCGCCAAGCCCAAGGTCATCGCGTACGGCGACCAGCAGTTCATCGTCGACTCGAAGCGGCGCGAGAAGGCGCTCTCGTCCAAGAAGAAGATGCTCAAGTTCAAGGGCCGCGGCACGAAGCTCGTCTTCGACGAGGACGGCAACGCGCACCAGATCTACGAGCTGCAGAACGAGGACGACTTCAAGCAGGAGGGCCCCGCGGAGGAGCTGCGCCAGAAGTTCGTCGAGAGCGAGACGGCGCGCGTCAAGGAGGCGGACATGGACGACAAGGAGCTCGCGAGGGAGAAGAGGAGGGAGAAGCGCCTCAAGCGCAAGCTGGCGGAGAAGGAGGAGCGGGAAGGCGGCGCGGCGGAGGGGCCGCGGGTCGGTGGTGGAGACGGGGGCGACGACGAGGATCCGTTGGCGCTGCTGCGGTCGCTGCCGATTGCCGGGGACAGGAGCGGCGGGGAGGAGTCCGAGGACGAGAGGCCGAAGAAGAAGACCAAGAAGTGGTTCCAGGACGACTCGGACGAAGAGAGGGAGAAGGCCAAGAAGGCGAAGAAGGGCGGAAAGGTGTTGGAGATCGACCGCGAGCCGGAAACGCTGGAGGACCTCGAGGCCCTGGCTGCGGGCTTGTTGAATTAATGTGCGTTTTAGACGTAGATACCCGGAACGGAAAAGTGATTGTCAATTTCAGGGAAGATATTAGAGCGTTTTACTCAAATGTCACATGGGCTGCGTGAAGTGATACGTGTCGCAATCATTAAATGCTCTGCCTAAAGGACCAAGTAGAGTCCAGGGGTATCACCAACCCCCAACGCCAAAAAGCTTCCATCCATCCGGTCGTCCCAGAATGCCAAAAATAAGAGTAGCGTAACGCACTAATGTCCTTCTTCTATCGCTTTAAAAAGTGCCTCCAAACCTGATGGGTTCCAACGCCTGAAATTTAAACCAATCTCTCGCCAAAGAGACGTGCCCTGTAAATACAGGTGTGATCGGCGCCATAGTTGTTCACCGCACGAATGGTGATGTGATCTGTCGAAGCTCCCAGCTTCACCAACTCAGGGCTGAGCTGGTGGACGTAGATTCCGTTGATGGTGTCGTTGCTCTCGTACGTGAACTGGCCGATCTTGACCCAACCATCCGACAACCACTTCTTGCGTGATGCCGTGTCTGGTTCGGGGAAATGACTGGCCGAGAAGTCCTCCACGCGCTGGCGCATGTTGATCTCTGAGATGTACGCCCAGATCTCAATGTCCTGAGGCCGGGCGTCGGGATTCAAGGTGGCGCCGGGCAAGATATGCTCGACGACGACATGTCGTGGAACAATCTCATGACTGAGCAAGTAGGAGATAAACACGCCCAGATGCTTCCCATTTTTGCTTACTGTTGGCCGGCCGCACCAGCATTCGCCATCATCGTCCCAGCGCGTTTGGGTCTTGGCGGGTTGTAAGACCCAGGGGCTTCGTCTCGTGCTCTTCAGCCAGGCGGGAGATCCTATCGGCCCGACGAACTCCGGCTTGTAATTCGGCGACGTGTGCTTGATGTCGACGATAGAACCGCTACCGACTGTGAGATAGTTGACCTGGCGGCTAAGTTCCTGATTCCAGTTTGCTCCGATAGTGCCCTTCGCAAGGGCCTCCAGTCCGGCATTTGCAATCGCCTGGCGGATCATGTCGTCGACAATGTGTATCATCTCTGTTCGGGAGACGCCGGAAGGAGGGGCCTTGCTCATGGCAAGGTCGACTGACTGGGCGATGTACTGCTCGAGGTTCTTCTTTAACTCCTCGGCTTCGGCCCTGACCTCGGCGCGATGAGTGGTAAGTTCGTTGTTCAGGTGTCCAATGAACTCCTTCCGCGTGACCACAATATCTGTAATTCCCTTGTCCTTGTTGAGATCCTTCACATACTTCTCGATCTTCTGGTCGAGGTCTTTCTCGATCTTATCCGGAATCGAGGTGCCAAAGGCAGGCTCCAAAATCTTAGCCACCTTCTCGTTGTTGCTCCGCAGCCACCCCTCCCAAGACTTGGAAAGCTTGTTCTGGAAAATGTTATCGACGTCGGAAGCTGAGACGCCTGGATCAGGGGGGTTGGTCGCCTTTTGGTAATCGGGGTCCTTTTTGAGCTTATCTCTGATCGCCCGCCAGTGTTCGTCGGAGATGAAATGATAGCCACCCTTCGCTGTACCCAGGGTCAAAACTTCCTTGTCGGCTTTCATCAAGTCTCGCAAGGCATACCAGAAGCCTTCTCCAACGATGGGCCGCCCATCTTTGTCCAGGGTCATATGGACAACCTTTGGCACAATTTGTTCGAGTCTATCAATCGAACGTTTTTGAAGGTCCGAGGCCAATGTCAGATCTCTGATTGCGTAATCGTGCTCGCGTTGTTGTCGAGAGTGCTCCCTCGTATCTCTGTCACTAAAAATGGTGGATGGTGCCGCCATCCATAGCGGCACGAACTGACCCAAGTTATGACTAATGTCGGACAGTCCGTACCAATGTATTCCACCAAGGCCTCCAGCAGGAAATGAGGAGATTCCTGCGTAGAAAGCCCACGCAAGAAAGCACGACACTAGGCCGGCCAGCACTGCCTTGATGAGCCACGCTTCAGGAGACATGAGGAAGCTAAGAACTTCCACAAAAGCGTCTGCCAACGTAAACATGATCCGTGCGTGCCAGCCCATCTGGTCCCTGGGTATCTGCCTTGACGAATCGTCTTGTTCATCGTCCATTGGATCTCTTGGGTCGTCATCTACCGGGGATGGCCTATCGGGACGAGCAGTGTTGGTCCAGGTGTAAATGGGAGCGTAAATCTTTGGCCATGTCTGAAGTCGCGTTGCACGTTCGCGCCGAAGCTTTTGCTGTTCCTCGAAATCACGCTGTTGCTCTTGTCCCACTCTCTCTGCCATCCCGTTGCCAAACAGACCGTGTTGCTCGGTCGTAACAGCCTCGACCCGAGCGTTGACACGAGTTTGCAAGGCAGGTACACGGGTTTCCTGATTGGAACGAGGCGGTGAATGGGAAGGTGGATGAGGAGGGGCTAAGTGCGAATGACCAGGCCGCGTCAGTCGATTGAACGCTGCAGGCTGCGCTGGCTGAAAAGCTTGAGGTGAATGCACATCTGGTTGTGATTGTCGAGCGGGTCGCGGTGTTCTTGCGTTGCTTTGCCCTTGTTGGGGGGGCTCCGGTGTTCTTGAGTTGCGAGGATCTTGCTGAACGGGACTTGGTGTCCTCCCGTTGCGTTCCTCTTGCCGGGCAGGACTCGGCGTCCTCGCGTTGCGTGGCTCTTGCTGGACAGGACTCTGCCTTCTCGAGTTGCTTAGCTGTTGTTGGGCAGGACTCGATGACCTGGCATCATTCTCCGCTGGCTGGTTCTGTCTAATAGGCTTTGGTGAAGGTGCTTCTGATGTCTGGCGAGATTCGGTACGCCGTGCTTCTTCCGCGGCAGCGTTTCTAGCTTGGCTCCGCGTCGTCCTTCCAGGCGTAGGTGCAGTAGAACTTGGAACACTTTGAGCCGCAATCTGCCGGTCTGGTGACGCACGACTTGAGCGTCTTTGGCCCGGCACGCTTCCCTGTCTTGGAGTCTGGGGAGGTTGCAGTGAAGGTGCTGCAGCAAAGGGGTTGGGACGCGACCGATGATCGGGTGCTGGTCCATCAGAGACCCTTGCGAGTGGCGACCGGGACGGCTCGCGCGGGTGTTCCTGTTGATTGAAGGAGGTAGGAGGCATCGGTGGGTTGTTTCTGGGTCGTGGTAACACCGGCCTGGAGGGGCTCATGGCAGCGGCCACGCGATAGTCTTCTGCTTCCACAATGGAATCTTCTTCTTCAATGGTTGGCATTGGCCGATCGTCAATGGAGCCCGGGGACCTGGATCCGATGGTAGCGTCGCCAAATAATGAGCTCTCCTGCCCAAATGTTCGATTGGATTCGGGCGTGGCTGTCGGGTCTTCCGAGCCAGCTCGATCGCGTACTTCCTCGATCGCGCGATGGAAGGCAGATCCTACGGTCTCCGGAGGGACAATACTTGACCTGCGAGGTGATCTGCGAAGAGGGCTGTTGCCGCGTGGTTCTTCCGAGCCAGCTCTTACTGGCGGCGGAAGATTAGGGCCTCTGAGGGGAGCTGAAGTAGGCAAGATCCTCTGGTCGCGACCTCCGCGATGGGCAGCTGGCTGGAATTCGGCAGGGTCGACCGATGAGGCTGGTGTTGTCTTAGTAAGAGATCTGAGACTGGTACAATGCAAACAAGGGACAAAGGGATGTCCACGTGGCCGGGCTTACCTCGTCTCGGGGGACTCTGCCGCGGCGGTGAGCTGTGTCTGCTAGCAGGTGAATTCGAGGCTGCGTCAAAACCAGGATCGAAGTCTGGCTCATTGTCCGGCTCCGACTGGCGTCCTGGTTCCGGCTCTGGCTCCGACTCCGACTCTGACTCTTGCTCCGGCTCAGGCTGCTGTCTGCGATTCGGTCTCGGTGGGACGGATGGTCGCCTCGCGCGACGCGGGCCGCCATCATCACTGTCGTCATCGTCATTCAGTGCGTCCTCGAGAGCGACCTGGATATTGCGAACTTGTCCGCGACGACTGTTCCTCGGCATAGTGGAGGGAGCGGAACCATAAGATGTATCGAACCTGGATGGCATGCTAGGTAGGTTCTGAGTGACGGCCGGGCCAGTCCGTATAGGCGGTGAGTCCTCGTCGGCCCGAGAGGGTCTTCTCCTTGGCGGCATCTTGACGATGTGAGTGGGATGCTATCTGATTTGGTGATCGGAGGATGTGGTTGTTGATGTTGTGGTTTATGAGATGAGGCCGGCTATGGAGGTGAGTGAGAAGGATTGAGGATGAAGAGATTGAGAGATGAAGTGAGATTGAGAGATGAAGCGAGGTTGAAGAAAGAAGGCGCATGAAAAAAAAGGACTCGGGGAAAGAACGCCTCAAAAAAGGAAATCGCGATGAGAAAGAGCCACGATGAGAGGCAAGAAGGGAAAGACGGGAAGGTGCAACTCACATTATTATCTGGCGCAAAGGACCAGCGCCGCGGCGGTGAGGTTGATTGTATCCGCCAGGATAATGGCCTCAGCTGCAGTTCGAAGGTCTTGTCTCATCAACAATGCTAGACGCAGATGTCCATGAGTGCTATGTTGAGCGACAAGGGAGACAGCAGCCAAAGGAACAGCTCAAGGCAAGGTGTGAGAGCTGTTAGAGCTGGTGTGGGGATGGAGGCGGGATGAGAAAAGGTTGAAGGTTGCCTTTGTGAAAGCTGCTGCAGGGGACCGCTTTCGGGATGATTGAATAGACGCAATAATAGAAAAGTGAAGCTATTCCAGAGCGACGACCCGCCGGATCGGGAAGGGAGGGAGGCGGTTGTCAACAAAGAGAGTAAGAGCGGTGGTACCTGGTCGCAACTACCATCGTTCCTGGTTGACTTCCTCCGGGCAGCTTAGGTTGACGGTCCTCAGGTCCCCGGCAAGTCGCGCACGCGCCGCGGCAGAGGCAGATCGGATCGAGGGAGGAATGCAGCCGCCGTCGCGTTGCTTTTTGGGAATCAATTAATTGTCGGACGGTGAAAGAGCCTGATGCGACAGGATTGAGCAACAGCAAGGGGCGTCTCGAGGGGTCGTTGGTCTTTGTCCCGGCTGGAAAAGTTCACCTTGCAGCTTCACCTGGAATGTTTTCGCGACGGCTGCCCGCCACCGAATTCGAGAGCGAATGAGGCACGGACCCCTGCACCGTGTCCGTCGCCCACGCGCTTAAGCTTCGTGGCCGGGCAGACAGCTCTAGCTCAACGCGCCGTGGGCCTGGGGGGTCCTGTGTTCCTTACATAAGCCTCAAACCTTAGGTAAGCTGTCGACGGTGGAGATCGATGAAGATCAAAGACGTCTCCACTGCACGTGATGAGCCAAGACTTTTTCTGTGTTGCCTGAGGCGGCAGCTTGAGCCATCGGCTTACCTAAGGCTGGCAAGGAAGTCAACTCGCGCAAATGGCCAGGCCTTGGAAGTCCTACGTCACCGTTTCAATCCATGTCCGCCGTCCCACCTCGCTGTTGTCGGCCCATCCTGGCGCGGTCCCTTCGAATATTATGGCCGACATATGCATCCTGCTAACGTATTTCGCGCAAGCGCTGGGCGAGAATACGATGCGCAGGCAGTCAGGTCGCCATTGATAGCTAGGAGCACACAACACACACAGTACGCCGAGTCAGGGCGAGTCGAAGATGCAGATGCAGGCAGAGTCGCTCGACCGGGCCACGGTGCTCACTTTGATGATCCGTGTCGACGCGGGAACCGGCTTATTGTCCGTCATCTCGGTCCAAGTTCCGGAGAACATGGCAAACCTGCAGGTCCTCTGAAAAAGCAAGCGGCGGGAAATGGCAAATGGCGCCTATCCTTACCTTGGTATGGTACATGCTCGAACAACCCTGCTCTGTCTCCCATCGCGGCAACACACAGCGACAGACAGCAGCAAACAATGCGGGAACCTCGGCCGCTACCTTGCCGTAGGTACGAATACTGCGCATGCATCCGCACCCTGCCAAACTAAAGACACCCGACACCATCACGATGTCTTCTGTCTGCGTCGTCCGATCCCTCAGCTGAACCACCTGGTCTGCCGCAGTGGTTCGTCGGTGGCCAACTCAGCTCCCTCCATCTCCAGCCAACCCACGTGAAAGCACCAGACAGCAGACGACAGGACCCTGTCGGAGCGTCCTCAATCCTGAAGATCAGTCTCCACGGCACCGCCATCCCCGGTCGTTACAAGTTTCAAGTGCGCCGTTTGAGGCTTAAGAAGAAATTACTGGCTCCGCAGCCAGCCACAACGCTGCAAATTGGTGCCACCCCCGCTGCGAGACCCCGCCATCGAATTCATTTGGCCGCAGAAGATTGGCCGTTGGCGGCGTCAGTCCCCAAAGTCGCAAAGGTGTCGTCAGGCCGAGCCAATTTCTCTCCCACACCCATTGCCTATCGGAACGTTACAGACAGACGACCCGGTTGTTTTTTGTTATTGTGACCGTCGCTGCAGCCTCCATCGCCAGATTTATATTACGCCGCGCCATCCTCTTCCTTCGCCTTCCAGAGAGAAGACTGGTCTGTTCGTCCTTCAACCAAAAGCCTACTTGATACCCCCGACGGACCGCACCAAGCATCAGACACCAACCTCGGCGCTGTCTTCTGTCCTTCGTTTCTCTACTCCAAATTCATCCCCTGACCGCACCTAGTTGCGATCGACGCTAGCAAATTTCTTCACAATGGCGATTGGAACTGTCTTGGTTACCGGGTAAGCTCCACGACTTTGACTCGGGCGCATTGCGGCAATGCGACAGCGTGGGGGGAGGCGTCCACGAGGGACTTTCTGGTCGCTGTCGCATTCCCGGCGCATCGCTCGCACCCACGCGGCGGAAAGCTAATCGCGCATCTCGACAGTGGCACCGGCTACATTGGCTCTTTCACTACCCTCGCTCTGCTTGAGCACGGCTACGACGTTGTCATTGTCGACAGCTTGTACAACTCCTCCAAGGTCGCCGTCGACCGCATCGAGCTTCTTGCCGGCAAGCGCCCCCACTTCTACCAGGTCGACGTCACCGACAAGGCTGGACTCGATGAGGTCTTCAAGAAGCACCCCGAGATTGACAGCGTAATCCACTTCGCTGCGCTCAAGGTATGTCGCTCTGATCCTGCCGCATCCGACGCTCTCGACTAACGTCACATGCTAGGCGGTCGGCGAGTCTGGCGAGATTCCCCTCGAGTACTACCGCGTCAACGTCGGCGGCACTGTTTCCCTCCTCCAGGCCATGACCGACAACAATGTCCCCAACATTGTCTTCTCTTCCTCCGCGACCGTCTACGGCGATGCTACCCGCTTCCCCAACATGATTCCCATTCCCGAGCACTGCCCCATTGGCCCTACGAACACCTACGGCCACACCAAGGCCTTTGTCGAGCAGGTCATCACCGACCACATCCAGGCCGAGCGCAACAAGCTGCAGAAGGCCGGCAAGCCCTTTGAGCACTTCAACGGCGCTCTCCTCAGATACTTCAACCCCTGCGGTGCTCACCCCTCTGGCCTCATGGGCGAGGACCCCCAGGGCGTTCCCTACAACCTGCTGCCTCTGCTTGGCAAGGTCGCTACTGGCGAGCGCGAGAAGCTGCTCGTCTTCGGTGACGGTGCGTATATCTAGATTTGCACTACAAGACAACAGCTAACACGAAGCAGACTACTCTTCAAGAGACGGAACCGCCATCCGCGACTACATCCACGTCGTCGATCTGGCCAAGGGCCACCTCGTCGCCCTCAACTACCTCCGCGAGAACAAGCCCGGTGTCAAGGCCTGGAACTTGGGCTCCGGCCGCGGCAGCACCGTCTTCGAGATGATCAAGGCCTTCAGCGCCGTCGTCGGCCGCGACCTCCCCTACGACGTCGTCCCCAGACGCCAGGGTGACGTCCTGGATCTTACCGCCAACCCCTCGCTGGCCAACAAGGAGCTCAACTGGAAGACGGAGCTGACGATGGAGAAGGCTTGCGAAGACCTGTGGCGTTGGGTCAGCAACAACCCCAAGGGTTACCGCCAGGACCCTCCCCCTGAGTTGCTGGCCAACGCCAAGCCCACCAGCTCGTAAAATGGAAACATAAACATGCATCGGAGCATCGGCCACGCTTCGCCTAGATCTTGGCCCTTTTCATATCGCTCATCATAGACGGTGTTAGAATTAGTGCTATTCCAGCGACAGCCATGAGACTACGTTCGCCATAGAGAGAATCTAATGAGAAAAAAAAGTTTGAACACATCATTATTCATTTATGCTTGCACAAACTCAAAGCTGCGCATCCAGTCAATCAATCTTGAGCAGGAGCTTGCCGGTAGTGTTTCGGCTCTCAAGATCAGTGTGCGCCTGCTTGACGTCCTTGAGCGGGTAGGCCTTGTGGATGGCGACCTCGACCTTGCCTGAGGTGATCATCTCAAACAGCTCACCGCTGTACTTCTCCAGCTCTTCCCTAGTAGCAACGTAGTTGTTCACCACGGGGCGCATAACCTTCAAGTTCTTGGGTCCCAGCTTCAGGATATCAAAAGGAGGCACCGCGCCAGACTATCACAACTGTCAGCAACCACACTCGCTCCCATCACATTGTCCCAATCAACTTACAGCATTTCCAAAAACGACCAACCGTCCCTTACGCGCCGCCATCTCCAGGTCGCTATCAAACGTCGCCTTGCCCACACCGTCAAAGATGACATCCACGCCGTGGCCGTCCGTAATCTTCTTCACCTCCGCGACGAGGTCCTGGCTCTTGGAGTTGACGATCCACTCGGCGCCGTTCTTCTTGGCCAGCGCGCACTTCTCGTCGCTGCTCGTCGTGCCGATGACCTTGGCCCCGACGGCGCGCAGCATCTGCACGAGCTGCAGCCCGACGCCGCCGGCCGCCGCGTGCACGAGGACCCACTCGCCCTTCTGCACGACGCCCGCCTCGCGGATGAAGGTCCACGCCGTGAGGCCCTGCAGCAGCGCGGCGGCGGCGGCGTCGGTGCCCAGCGCGTCGGGGATGCGCAGCAGCGAGGAGGCGGGCACGGCGGAGTAGGTTGCGTAGGAGCTGTAGGGCCCCATGTAGACGACGCGGTCGCCGGGGGAGAAGGAAGAAGATACAGAGGGGTGGGCGGAGACGACGGTGCCGGCGCCCTCGCGGCCGAGGACCTGCGGCAGGGGCGCCTTGTAGAGACCCGTGCGGAAGTAGGTGTCGATGTAGTTTATGCCGGCGTACTCGTTGCGGACGAGGACCTGGCCCTCGGAGGGGGCGGGGACGGGGAGGGCGGTCTCGTGGGTGAGGACGGAGACGTCGCCGGTGCGGGGGATCTGGATGCCGTTCATTGTTTTGGGGACGGAGGGCGTGGAGGCCATTGTGAAGTGCGGGGCGGGGGAGAGGTCGATGAGGCGGGGGGTGGATGTGGTGAAGGTGCGTGAGGGGGCGAGTTTGCGGGTGAGATGTTGTTGTCGTGAGGTAAGGGGAGGTTGTTGTCTAGTGAGAGGTGAATGCGATGCTGATGCTGAGAGGAGGCACCTTGTGAGCTTGGGGATTGTTCGCGGCGGGGAGGGGATGAGAGACATTGACGTTGTGGCTAAGCTTTAATCCGGGCGAAGCCTCTTTTTTTTTTTAAAGGAACTCCGGACGTCGGATGGCGTGCAATTAAGCGGGATCTGGTTTCCGTCTTTGCTGAGCAATATGGTTGCGAAATGGCATCCCATTCCGCGGCGCGCGCGGAGGGGTGGGACGATGATGGGAGTGATTTAGTAAGCAGGCGCCGATGACGGGGTCGGGTGAGGGGTTCGGCACGTCGGATGGCGGGATCGGGAGGGGGCGCACGAGTGTGGGGTTGGCATGTTCGGCGTTGGGGCCGGGGCCGGAGCGGTAGCGGTGGTGGTTTGCGCGGGGCTTGGAGGCAAACGTCTTAGTGATGATAAGATTACGTTGGGTGTTCACACTGTTGACGGCAAAATCGTCAATCGGAATCGATATGACATCCCGTTTGGATGCTCTGATTTAATCACATTCGACACCATAAGGTAGTGTAAAGGAAACATACACTCCTGGACGAGTCTGCCAGCTCAGCTCGAGACACGTTTTCGGTGGACACGATCTGGGACAGAATTCTGCTGAAATTGGCAGACATTCAACGGGGATCCAAAGACTGCAAAAGTTCAAAAGATGGGTACGTCTATGAGCAGGAGTCGTACTTGGTGAGTGTGTATCTAAATTTGATGTGAAAGGCATCAAGTCAGCCTATTTGCATGCAAACAGCCGTGGATAACGTCAACGCCCCCAATAGTTACTGAGGGTAGATTATCAAACCCATTCCCTGGCTGTAATGGCGAAGTAGCGCGTGCTGATGCATGGGACGATCCAAGTCTGATGGTAAGCTGTCGCCATACCACGTCTTGGCACGAACCGATGGTCGTGGCGGCTACGACTTCCCCCGTCTGGTCCATGGCAGAGCGCAACCCCATCATGTTTCTGCGCCAGACATCTCAGGCGGCCATGGCTGCCAAAAGTATACTACATCAGCAATTCATCAATTCTGCCACGGACGTTCTTCTCTGTCAAACAGCAGCTGAGTAAGGTGCCGGCATGTTCCCTCGGGGGCCGCGCAAAATAGAGTCGGGGCTAGTCAGGTCTGCCAAGGCTCAGATAGAAGCGGGATCAATGCGCGCGGGTCAATCGGGGCTGGCGGGGAGATCTCTCTTGGACATTTCGGCCGGGTGCTTATCCGTCGGTGGTGGTTATCAGTTAAGGCCTGCCTAGCCTCTGTCTTTTCCTCTGATGTCGAGACTGAGTAACCTTTTCGAGGGTGGTATCCCCGCGGGTTGATCAGAACCTTAGACTACCTTAAGTTGATCGGCGGGGAGGGTCGCAATGGGTGTCGTCTGCAATTGAGGCTCAGCCGTCTTGGCCTCTGCTGTAAAGTTGCGGTGCTGTGCGTGATTGGATGTCCCGTCTGCGCACTTCGCCTCGACTTGCGCGTTTTGCAGGTACAGCAGAACGTGAGGCGTGTGGTTTGGTCAGTGTGGCCTGTGCCCGCCACTCCTACACCTAATCAACGTGGGAGCTTGGTTGGCGGGATAATGTCTCCTTGGTGTGTGGCGGTGATGGTGAGTGAGGTTTAGTGGTGGTGTCTGTCGTCGGCCACGTCAAGAGTGCGGACGGGACCGATGATTTGGCAGGTTGACCGGCGCCGTTGTGGGCGAAAACGCGCACGGAGGATGAGAGAGGGGACATTGGCAGCAACGGCGCAGTTTGCAGTCCTGCAGAAGGGTTTCAACCAATCATCGGTGGCTTGCGTCAGTCAGAGGTCAGGGGTGTCAGGCACAACAGGTTCACGGTTCCAGGCCTCTGTTCAATATTCCCCATTATTTCCCCCATCCGCTCACTTCGGCACCCCGAAAAATATCTCGGTTCCCGGGTCTCGTTTGTGTAGGACCCCGGAATTTCTGGTTTCTTAATTCCAATGTGCTAGCCAGACTGAGGTCGAGGTGGATGAGGGGCCACTTTGTGAAGCGTTTTGGGGTGTTCTGGGCCGGCCGGTGTTGTGTTGTACTCTGAAGAAATGTCACTCATCGAGTACCGTCCATCAAGTGTCAAGTATGCCTTCAGTACGCCTTGGCCCTGGGCTAGGCCAAATCGGAGGTTTCCATGCTGCTTCCACGGCCTCCTTCGGTGCTTCTCTGCGTCTGCCTCCCCCACCTTCTCGGCTGTCAAGGGCCGTCTGCAGGTAAAGAAGAAGAAGTGTCCGCGTATGCCCCTGCTGGTGCAACACCCAATCCCAAGGTATCTCGACCTCTGCCAACAAGCTTAAACGAGGGATGGATGGACTTGACTGCGCCGTTCAAGGTCTGTCGCAATGGATTTTGCCTCTGTGCTATTTCTTGAACTTTTTTTGCGTTCGTCTCCCGTCCCGCTTTCTCCTCTCTCTCCCCTCTTCCTCGTCCCTTCTAGCGGTCAATCATTTCTCCACCTGGCAAGACAGCATGTTCCTGGTTGCTGGCTGTTAAAAGGGCGCGCAACGGCCATCTTTCTGGAGCGTCAGAAGAAAAGAAAAAAGTCACGAGTTGGAGAACGACGACAAGACGGAACAGCCGAACAGACGACGTCATGGCCGCTGCCCTGTCGCGCATCGTCTGACCTCGAGACTTTAAGCAATCCCAGCCTCGTTAATGCCCCTGTCGAAGTTGTTGCTCCCTGAAGCTGAAGACCGTTGTATTTCTTAGGGAACACAGGGGATGAGCAACAGCGTGTGAAGGCGCTGGAAGAAGGGGACGAACAGACGAAAAACCACGGCTCCACCCCGCTGAAACGCGACGCATTGTCGCCACTGCGGCCTGCGTTTTCACTTCCATTCATCGTCGGGTCGCTCATCAGCGGCCACCGGGTACCGAGATACGGACTCGACACTGAGGTGCTGCTGACTGCCTTTCTGGGTCTTTTTGGATCTTTTTCCATCACCTTGTCGTCGCCTTACCTCTCTTACTCACCTCAACACCTTACCTTGTGGTACTTTGATACCTTGGTACCTTCACTACTCACCGACCGTCATCCGGCTTCTTCTCATCTTTCATCCCCTGGGCATCCGTACCATTAAAGACATCTCACCAACATTCATCCATACGACAACAGCTCGCAGGGGGAACTGTGCGTGTCCCACATCTCTCCCATTGAATTGAATCCCCCCCGGGCGGCGGCATCTCCCAGCCGAGAGCCCGCGACGAACCAGAAGCCGCCAGACGTTGCGACTCGGACCCATCGAACCCAACGATCCAATCCCAATCCAACCTCGTTTTCTTTTTTTTTTTTTTTTTTTTTTTTTTTTTTTTTTTTTGCTGCTTCTCTCTCTCGCCCCCCTCGTCGCCTCTACCACTCGACCCGCGTCCCGTATTCTCCTAGCCCAGCCCTTCCCTCTCCTGTCTAGGTCTCCAGTCCCGTGGTTTGCCCCCTAACAGGCCTGCCACCTATCCGTACCTTACCCGTCCTTCTGTCACCTCAACCCGTCGATCCTGGATGCTTGTTCTCAACTTCCCGTTCATGCCATCGCAGCCAACGCACCACCACCAGCACCGGTTGCCACCGGCTGAAGGCCGTCTTTTCCGTTCACCTGGCCTGACTGTCTTTGCTGCACCTTGCTAAAGTCTATCTGCCAGAGGACCAGAAGAGTGAAGAGGGCCAGAAAGAGAAGAAGGGGAAATTCTTGGGACGAAAACGAAACTTTGCGCCGCACGTCTCCTCTCCTCTCACTCACCCGCCAACTCTCACTCTCCTCAGCCTCGCCTTGCTTCAACCTCACCCTAACCTCACTTTCCCGTCACTCACTCACGCTCCTTTTTTATAGTTTTCACCGCTTCTCTTCACCTCTCACCTGTCGCCCTCGCATTCGCCGCCTCTCTACGGCCCCCCATCCCGACCTCCGTCATCCAACATACGGTCTCACGCCTAACCCCCCCTCCCGGCTCCCCCGATGCCGACTCCGCCGACCGAGGATGACCGCCAGACGCGGATCATCCAGTTCGCGGAGGAATGGGGCCTCGAGCCCCCGCCGTCCCCGACGCCGCTGACGCGCCCCAACAGCCCCCCCAGCTTCCGCACCTCCGAGGACGACATCAGGGCCGAGGAGCTCCTCAAGCGCAAGGCCTCCGTCCTCGGCCGGACGGACTCCACCACTAACCTGAGGCGCGTCCTCACCTCCAAGAAGACCAAGTGGGACTACAAGCTCGTCTTCGACACCCTCGACCAACACGTCACCGAAGGCGGATCCCCCGGTGTCGCCGAGGCCCTCATCGTCCAGCTAGTCTCGTCCGGCGGCGACGTCAACATGGCCCAGAAGGCCAAGACGAGCATCCTGCCGAGGAGGAAGAGCCTCGAGAGCTTCGGCGAGCGCAGTAAGCTGCTCCAGCATGCCGTCCACAACGGCCAGATGGACATGATCCAGGTTTTGCTACCCCACGCCGACCACTTTGCCCTGGACGCCTCATTACCGTTGGCCATGCGCGCGGAAAATGTCGAGATTGTGGAGCTGCTTTTGAGGTACGGCGCCGGTGTGCTTCGCAGCAGTGAGACGCAGGAGGTTTTCCGACAGGCTTGCGCTTCGGGCCGTCAGGCCGAGCTGGTGTCCATCGTGCTGCGGTCCGAGGCGCGGCCGCCGCCGACATGGCTGTCTCAGTGTATGGTGGAAGCGACGAAGGCGGGGTGCTTGACGACGGTTCTCCATCTGAGTCGGTCTGATGCCGATGGCGACTACAACCAAGCGGAGGCGCTTAAGATCGCCATTAGCCAGGGACGTCATGATATTGCCCTCGCGATCATCATGGGCAACCACCCGCCGAAACGACCAGGCCTGGATGAGGCGTTCTCGCAA